ACACACACACACGCACACACACAGACAGACACACACACACACGCACACACACACACAGACAGACACACACAGACAGACACACACAGACACACACACACACACACTCTGTCCGTTCACAGCAGCAGGACACAAAGCTGACGTCTCTGTCAGACTGTGGGAAGTTTGAATTGTCACTTTATCACAAAAGTATTTCAATTAAAAATAACTTTGTAGGGAAATTTGTGTTGTCGATTATTTCTTTCTCAGCGTTACATCGCTGGGAAAAGGTTTTTGTTTCCTCTTAAACGGCTACCAGCTCGGTCACAAACGGCCGTGGATGGAAGCCCATTGTTCAGCCAGCGTTCATCACCAGTCAGCCAGTGTGGTTTGTGTTGTTCACTGTGGCACTACCGGCACACTCGGAGCTCACGTGTGTTTAAAGGGCTGAGGTCAGAGCTTCAGGCGGGCTGATCCATCCTCTACACTGTAGCCTGGGACAAATCTGCTCGGTGGGGTCGAGCGTTGTCGTTGTGGAGGAGAGTTCAGGCACAGACTGTGGAGCTGTGGGACTGCAGGATCTCACATTGATATCTCTGCATTTAGATTGTTTTCAGTGATGACAAGTTGCTTTCACATCATCACAGTGACTCCACCAAAAGCTGCTACCCTGTAGGTACAGTGGTAAGGTACCGCCTCGCTTCCTGTTTTCTGTCTATGTTTGTCACACTTAAATGTTTCAGTTCATCGAACAAATTTAAATATCAGACAAAGATAACAAGAGTTTATTATTTAGGTGGAAAATCCAAACCTCCATGTTTGAGAAAGTGATTGTGCCCCAAACCTCATAACTGGCTGGGCCCCCCTCAGCAGCAACAACTGCAATCAAACACCTGTGAAAACTTCCAGCTGTGGAGGAGTTTTGGCCAAAACTTGCAATGCTTCCAGCAGTGGGCTGGAGGCATTATATTCAGCCACGTTGGAGGGATTTTGAGCATGAACCATTTTTCATGGGCACAACTTCCATACTCACCTCTGTTGCTCAGCACACGGATGCATTTCCTCACAAATGTGGCTCAATTTAAGGAGAAACAAAGAGCTTTTCCAGCGGTGTAAGATTTACTGCTAAGAGGTACAACCGAGCAAACACAAACTTCTTTACTTCTTCTGTTAAGTTTAGCTACATTTACAGGGAGCTCCATGTCAGGTTATTTGAGATGGTGTGTGTTGGGATCTTATGACTCATCATTCAGGTGTCACTGAGTGTACTCAGGATTCTGCTGAGGGTATGAGTTGCCCACAGGTGGCTGTGAGTCATTTGCCTTTCACAGCATGCAGGAAATAAACACGTGTACACTTACATGCATGCAGCAGTAACTTCATTAACATGTGGTTGGTGGTAAGTTCTGTCTTGTGTCTGTTAACAGAGGACCAGCCTCGACCTGCTGGATCCACACAGTCCCATCAGTTTAGACAGAAGCCTTTACATCTCAAACACTGAGCTGAGCAGTGCTTCCACTGTCAGTCACACTGTTTGGGTTTTTGGTCACTAAACATTCTCATTGATCTTCTCGTGTGTCCTTCAGTTTCACTGGTAATTAGCAAAACTGCCTGGCTGTATGTACACATTAGGGCACGTTCAGTCACTGGCACATTTTTGTGATTTTATGCTAATTTACCCCAATTAGTAAATCTGGGACCAAGTCGCCTGTTTGTTGCTTGTTTCAGTGATAAGACAAACAGAATAAAACATGGAAATCAAAGAGCTACAAACACAAAGGGACCTATTCTTGTCTCCTTATTTCCTGTCACCTATCTCCTGCTCCAGTGGTGGATGGTCATGGAATAACGCGGTCTGTGGATGTACCTGCAGTCCCTGAGAGCTAACAGCTCGCATACAGACTTTTTTTTCTGCTAAATTTGGGTGATGTCATGAAGAGAGGACAGAGGCCACACCCACTCTGTGTTCAATCAGAGTAAAGGAGGCATGAGGAGCCTTCTTTCATTGTGTTCTGTCCCCCGGCAGGCTTCCACAAGTTAGCCAATCAGAACAGAGTGGGCTTTAAGGAGGAAGGTTTCTGTGCTCTGTTAGCTTTAATCAGATCCAGATTTCTCACAGAGCAACAATCCCCTGCAGGACAGTAAACTAGACATCAGCAGTCGCTGCTTTTTCCATCCTGGTCTAAAAAAAGAAGGCTGTGTGTTAGAAACTCCAGCATCAGCCAAGATTCATTGACTTTCTGTGACTCTTCATCAGAATATTAGAGTTAGGGTTAGTGCAATCACAGAGGAAGTGTGGGCTCTAAAACACATGACACCACTGTTTTCTTACTCAATCACTTTTCCTGTTACACAGACAGAAGGGGGGCTCATTTCAGCCTGACATACAAACAGAGCCGGGGTGAGGAGGGGGGGCAAACATGTCAAATACATTCAGAACAGGAAGTAGAACAGCTGCAACAGACTCACCAGGCAGCAGCAGCAGTGGCAGCAGCAAGGCTCCAAGCAGATGAAGTGACAGGAACCTGGGGGAGGACATGACTCCCATGGAGAGACAAAGAAAGACAGAGTGAGGATGAGGATGGTAGAGACAGGGACAGATGGGAGACCTGGAGATGAAGAAAGCAGAGAGCAGAGAGAGCACAGAGAGGTGTGATGGTCTGAGCGACGGAGCTCTGAATGAATATGAACACAGAGAAAAGGGGAGGAGAGAGGGAGCGGGGGAGGAGGATGAGGACACTGAGAAGGTGGGCGGGGGGGGTTCTGGTTTTCCTGCCAAGTTTGTTCCACGTTTGCCAAACATGAAGAAACAGACAGACATGAATCACAGTGAAAACTGCAGCATTAAAGGTCCTTCCACAGTTTCACAGTCAGTGAGTCGGGCTAACGTTACACTCCCTCTGTGCTCTCACTCCCCACAAAGGATCAGCTCAGACCGTCCTGAAGGGAAAAACTCAAGTTAAGCTGCATTTCACAAAGAAAACACTGACCTGTGTTTTTCACACAAACATACAAAAATCACCAGGACTGTAAATACAATATGTTTGTTCATCAAATAAAGAGAGGCAGCGCAGGCACGCACAAACCTGTGTGTGCCTGCGCTGCACTGCTGTCACACAGTACTGGCTCCCCTCATTTGAACTTTCACTCACATGTTTCATCCACAAATATTCATAACAGACAAAAAGCAGTCTATAAGTGATGATTTCATCAGCCCTGCAGTGTTGGGGAGTAACAGAGTACATGCACCAGCGTTACGTATTTAAAATACAAAATATGAGTAACTGTATTCAGTTACAGTTACCGTTTAAAAAGGTGGTATTCAGAATACAGTTACTTTGCTGAAATAAATGGATTACACAGCGGTCTGTTCCTGTTTCATATGTTCGGCTATGTCCTCTCTGTTTTTGGTTTCCACGCTGGTGGAAACCCAAACAAACACGCATTAAGAGGCTCTAATGTCTGTGCCTCAGTCTCAGGCCCACGTCACCTCTACTCGCGGCCACATAATGACGTGAAGAAACGTTTTTTAAAATTATTGTTCAAAAATGATTTAATATGAAGGCAACAGGCAGAGTGTTACAGGCATCGCCCTGAAGAGTGTAGCCTGATGGGCAGTGAAGCCCAGCTGTAAGTAAGCTGTTAAGACTCGACTGTACGCCGTGTTCCTGTTTTCCTCTGAAACAATAAGCTCTGTTGCAGCAGCCTTTCGAAGCCTCTCTCTGTCTCTCGCTAGCAAAGTGAAGCTAGTTTTCAGCTACGAGCAGACACGAACCCGACGTATTAGCCAGAGGTCCCTTTACTACAGTTCGGAGCTGCGGACCTGTTTTATATACGCGCAGAATAGTTTTCTATACGAGATCGCTGCAAAAATGGCGAGTAACCTTCAGTAATAGTAATAAATCACAGCAACAGTACATTCATGTAGCTGTAAAAAGCATGATAATATATTAAGTAATCCGGATACGTTACAGTCATTGAAATACATTTTGGGGCATGTAATATGTAATCTGTAGTGGAATACATTTTAAAAGTAACCTTCCCAACACTGACCCTGTGTGTAATAACTGCTTGTGTGATGTCAGTGATTCGTGTTAGCTCACTATTGTAATTCTACGGTGGCCCCTAGAGACAAAACACGTACAAACACAACAGAAGTGCTCCAGGACACTAGGGGGCAGTGTTGAGCTTTTGTTACCTCGTGGCTACACAAGCCAGGAAGCACCAAGAACCGGATTTGGTGTGTGGTAGTAACAGGTAAATGAACATTTTTTTAAATATTTGAATATATATGAGTGCTTGTGTATAAATACACAAACACTACACATAATTCTTAATTGTGTAATTTAAGTGAGGTAGGTAGCTCTGCTTTGGAAGTTCAGTTAACACTTGAAATGCGTTTTGGAGTTTGTACGTGCTTTGTCTCTAGGGGCCACCGTATAACTCAGCCACACTGCATGAACGGCTTGTTTCAGCATCTCATTTGGACGCAGGTCCACACTTTGACTCAGCCACTACAAAACTTCCATGTGGCTTCTGATTTTTTGAGCCTGCTGCTAAACCGAAGCGTTTTTGAGCTTCAGGACAGGGACTGATGGTCAGACTTTCTCCTTCAAGCTTTTCTGTTAGAGAGCAAAAGCAATAGTCCAGGTCCTGAAGCAGCAAAGCAGCTGCAGACCACCACACTACCTCACCGTGTTCGAGTGTATAACGTGCTGTGTTACTAACAGGACTCTTTTTGTCTCGTCCACAGAATATTTTCCCAGAACGTCTCGGGGACCATCGGGATGTTTTGTTGGAGCCTGTCCTAAATTAGGATTAGGATTCTAATTATTGTCGTTACACATGTTTCAATACAGAGTGATGAAATACTGAAGCCTTATAAACAGCTTTGTAACCCAGACTGATCATGAGTACTTTGCTCCTCAGCTCTTCTTCAGTTTTTTTTCTTTCATGGTATGATATATGGTTCTTCAGATCCTTCAGTTGTAATGATCACTGTACTAAATATTCTGCTTCGCTGAAGCTGCTTACAGAAGGATGACTATGTTAGTTTAAATGGATTAATATGCCTGAATCGTGCTGTCAGAATCCTCAAAGCACGGGCCGGGGAGGGCAGTCTGTCAGCCTTATATCACTTTTACATCATTTGCTTACAGGTTCAACAGGTCAGTAGACAAAAGTGAGTATGGATCTGCACTGCATCCTGAAACACGGTGACGCTCCACAGACATGTGTAGCACCATCGTCCTCTAAACTCCCCAGCTCACTGTTCCAGCACCAGAAGGAAGTAACGCTTTAAAATAAATGGTTTAAAGCAGCAGAACAAACATCAGCAGTCCCACACACACTCTCTTAGTTTGTGAATATCATCTGTCTGATCTCAGACTCTGTTTATTCTCAGCTCTCTCCAATTAGCTCAGTGAGAAAACCTGTTTAAGCCCAATGACAACAATCATTCATAAGTGATTTCAGCCACAGTCTCCATCTGATCAGACAAACATGCTGTGAATCTTTTCTATGTTGGAGAAAACTCAAACAAAAAGGACAGATGAAGAGTATCAGTGTTTACAGCATCCCTGCTGCTGCTGCACCTCCTCACATTCTTTTCATGTAATCAGACAAAATCTGACTTTTCTCACAATATCATCCTCTCTGTCCTGACTACATACACATATATATATTACCTCACCAACTTTATAATGGACTGGCATGAATTCAGTCAACGTTAACTGCTGGTTTACAAAACAGTGAACTTCCTTTCTGTTACAAACAAAATGACAACTAACCAAAAATTGTGGGAAAACATTTCCAGAGGAGGAAATCAGACATTTAATTGTGTTAGGGAAACTCTGATTTCTCAGTTGTCCCTGAATACGTCATCTCCCAGCGCTGGTGACCTTCGCCAGGGACACGTTGACCAAATTATCGATGTTTTCGTCTCTCATAAAGACAGAAAGTCCAAATAAAGATGTGAGTTGAATGTGAATAATGCAGCTGCTGCCTGTACGTGTGTGTTCAGACAAGCCCAGAGTGCTTCCAGCCTTTGCATGTTTACTTAAATATTTTTATAGCATGCCCATAAATCAGTGAACAGTTCAGGTCCCAGATATTTATCAGAGCAGGGGTGTTTCTACAATCGTTTAAACCTGGGGGACAACAAAGGGGGACAAAAAGGAGCTGGGGGCATTTCCATGGGAAATAAACATTTTTGTTTGGGGAGTGGAGCAAGCAGCAGCAGACAACCTGCGATACAAAAGTTTAGTCTTAGTGTACATTTAAGTTGTTTACATCTTTATTTTATAGATTAATCACCTGTCGTTCAACAAAATATAACAAAGTGCCCCAGAAGTATAGCCTCTGTTTCAGTGTGCTAACAGTGCTTCCAGCTAGCTTAGCACAAATGCTAACTAGGCTAACAGTCTTGCTAAATAGACTGGTTCTTACATAGGGCCTTTATACTCTACCTGAGCACTCAAAGCACAGCATACAACATGCCTCATTTGCACATTCACACATGCATACACCAACAAGTGTTTTCTAGCTAACAACTCTGCTGGACGCTTCAGAAAAGCAAACATTTGAAGGAACACAGTATCTGTTTCTGGTTTGTATCTCTTCTGTGCACAGAGAGCTGGACAGTGTTTATAGCCATCACTTTCATTCAAACTATGATGTATCAATATGCTAGCAACCAAAGCAATCACAGGGAGGCAACCAGCAACCTCTCACTGCTGATGGTTCCTAGATGGTATCAGACCGGTCTGTAGATCTGTGGTATGGGAATCGAGACCCAGTTCTCTACAAGAACCTGTTCCCATTTCAGTTCCTTAGCATTGTCTGTCACTCCTGCTAATCAGTTCCATTTGCGCTACAATCAGCTGATGTCAGTTCATATGTTGGAGGAAATTACTCTGCGGTGAGTACATGGACATTTTCATTTTCATATTTAATTGCACACAAGGATGGGAGTGTGATGGTAAAGTGGAAACTGCATCCAGAACAGAAACAAACTACTAACACAACTTCAGCGCTTTGAAGGCATGCTAATGGATGCTAATGCTAAGCTAGTCAAAAGCCCAGAGTGAGGTTAAAGCTGAGTAAATGCTGACCCCAGACCAGCAGCCAGAGCCTGAACCTCAACAGGTAACAAGAGGATGAGCTTCAGCCTCTGTTTCTACCTGCTCGTGTTTCTACGGTAGCATCGCCGTGGTGATTGCTCTTTGGGCATTGGTGCTAGAAACTGCTACGAGAAAATCCAATCTCTAAGTTATATTGATAATGGAATCGCTAAATTCTTATCAATTCCCATCCCCTCCCTACCCTGGCACCATGTCTGTCTCTTTTTTGTAACTTTTCAGTGTTTTGCTTTTTATGAACCTTTTTTCCATTGAAGTGAAATCCTCTTCAAACCCATACTACTTTGAAATGGAACTACTTCAGCATACGTTCAAACAGGTCCGTCATTTGCTCTATGTGAATAATATAGATATCCAAATGTGGCTATGGTTGTCCTCTTTAAGAAAATGACCTTTCCAAAACGCAGCAATTCACAGAATGTAAACGAGGGCCCTGAGAGTGTCAGCAGTACCGTCAACGTCTGTCATTCACTGCAGTCTTAACTGCTGTCCTCTGTTGGGCGCAAAAGTCAGAATGGAGGCATTTTAAACTT